AAAGTTCTGTAGTATCTGTTAGGTGTCAGCCATTGAATAAAAGTAAGAAGAGGGACACATATAACCTTCACCCATTCTGGAAACAATTCACACTTGTGTGATTGATGATACCTGAGGACATCATTTACACTAGCACAGTGGTAAATTATAAATCTGATGGAGAAAAGTTGAAATCTGAATAGATGCAATGGTACACTACATCATACGCAGTCTCATTGATCATTGCATTGCTTTAATCACTAAGCCTGCATGTCTTGATTTAGGAACCGACTTGTTAAATGGTATGTGCAAAACTTCTTCTTGGGTAGAAAAACAAAATCAAAGTAATTTTCAAATCAAAATAAATGGGTCTGCATTCTTGTAAATGAATGATTAATGCTCTTTGTCTGTATGTATTTCTCTTATAATATTTTATACGCTATAAATCTTTATGTTACTTATTTCAAAATATTTCTTTATAAAAAATTGCAATTACAGCGGACAGTTTAAATTAGTTTTTGAAAAGAAAACTGAATGCGGCTGTAAGCAGTGCCTTTCTACTCTCAGTTTACGTTGACCTCAGCAGCCTCTATTTGCAGCAACACAGCATCTTAGAACATCAAAGTGGGGAATGATACGGCTTCAGAATTCAGGATGTTTAGAGCCAAATTAACCTAGTGGACTTTAAGTTCATAACTGTAAACAAGAAATGTGTCACTTAATTTCTTGATGTTCCCGTGGGACAATTTGTACCCGGTTACTGTGTTCTGTGTACATTAGGGAAATATCATGGCATTTCAAATGTATGTATAGAACAGATGATAAAAACACTTCATAATATCAGTACATTACTGATATAATATAAGCACTGACTAGACAACACCATTCTTCTGTTTTTCATGATATGCTGATTGTATATAAGGAGCATTTTACAGGGAAGATTTTAAAGTACTGATGATGGCGAATGTTGAAAATCTCTTCCCTCTGTTGCATTTTTAACAGAAATTATTCTATTACAGAATACACATTCAGTCTAAAAATGATTTCAGCATTTTCAATATATGTACTGTAGATCTCCCGGTCCTTCAATCTGTTTGTCCATCTGTTATAGGTGGCCAGCTGAAATGATCCTTCTCTTGCAGGAGGGACTGGGCATGGGGGACAAAGGTACGTTTGCCCTCCAGGCCAGGACTGATAAGATATGTTGGGCTGGAGGACGTGAGTGTGTCTGCAGTCATGGAAACATGTTGGGCATGATAAACTGTAGCTACCTTACTGTTCAGACCAGAGATCCCAGCATCTGGCATTGGGAAATCTTAAAACACCAACTTCATTTCAGATGTAACTGAGTGCTGAGGGCACAAAGTAAGCTGATGCTATAAGATGTGAAAAAGAGTGTCACTAAAAACCATTGGGGGGATTTATCAAAACTGGAGCAGACAAAATCTGGAGCAGTTGCCCATGGAAACCAATCAGACTCTCTCTTCAGTTTGGTCAGTTAAGATTTGAAAATGAAAGAGAGAAGCTGATTGGTTGCCATGCATAGCTGCTCCAGATTTTGTCTGCTCCAGTTTTGATAAATTCCCTTCCATGTCTTTTAGGAACACCTATCTTTCACAATGCTCGTTGGTTGTGTTTTCCTTCTGGCTCTCAGTTTTCCCCTGCTTTCTTCTATCATAAGCTGGGTCTCCCTAGTTTGCATATCTGTTGGTTAGGGGGGAACCCCACATTAGAATTCTAACCACATACCTATTAGCCTGTCTGTTTGGAAGAGATTTATTTTTAAATTTTGATACAAAAAATCAAATTGCTCCGGGCTAATTATGGGGCCACTTTCTTAACTGTTTTTGCCATTTTGGTAGCAGACAGCACAAATACATTTTAGGGGCATCAAGTGTATGTGTAATCTGATCTTTAAAATATCTGGCCTCATACATATGAACAACTGACAAATTACCTTTCATAATATGGTGCTTAAACCAAATACATGGGCAGCCCTTGAGCTAATAGAAGTGCCTTTATGACGAGCACATACAAGCCTGATGTTGTTGTGTAGTTCCTCCTTGTCACTGAGGGGTGATGGGTGGGGGCTTGTCGTATAGTCCCCCCTTGTCAGGTATAGTTCCTCCTTGTCACCACTAGATATCCCCACTAGATATCACCATAGTACTCTTGTTATTGTCCTGTTATTAGGAGCCCACCCGGAGTTACTAAACACCCCTGCCCCTGTCAGGCAGGAGTGCCTGTCTGATAGGTATAAGTGACAGGAGGGGAGTTGGTGTTAGGAGTTGAAGCTGCCAGTGTGTGGAAATTTATTTTGTGAAGCCTTTAGGAAGAAGTCATTACCTCGTGGGTTTCCCCTTAAAGGGAGAAGTTTAAGGACATTCTCCCACATATGTGGAGGTAAGCCTAGACCTTTTTTGCCCACTGCAGGGTGTAGGTTTATCTTCAATTCTCTCTAACACTCTCTCAGGTTCTCACTGAAGATCTTTGTAACCTTCACTAAGTATGTGCCATCATTACTATAAATGACTGTTGTTTTTATTATCTGTGCCAAGCAAAGTTGATGTTTTTGGGACCATTAATGGAACAAGTTTGGACTCCTAATACTCTGTACTAATGGGGGATTACTCTTGGGCATGGGCTTGTGGCTGGGAAAAGAAGAAGAGATCAAAGTTGCCATGCATAATGTGCTGGATAGAGGCCTCAGTTCTCGTCAGCCCAGGCTGGTTCGCTCTCAGGATGTCCTTAGAGGGTGAAGTCTACTGTGTTCCACCCTGTCACAGAACCGCAATGCACCTTGTGGATTGCCCAAGTCAGCAGAGAAAGCGTGAAGCGCATGTACCATGTTGTGTGGAATTAGTGTGCATTACATTTGGTTGTCCAGGGCTGCTACACAGTCATCATACAATCCAATGTACTGGCCTTCCTACATTTGGGTGGCTTTTTACTGCACTGTCTGTTTACTTTACACTGCTGAATTATGATCTAATTCATTTGAACTGAGCATATAACTTGGCTGCCAGTTGTCTTGGAACAGAGACCTATAATAGATAACACTGAGTTGGCTTTTGATTCTGATGTTAATAACTCACCTTGTGATAACATGTGCAGTTGTTTACTTAATCTTCTTAATATATTTGTGATTAAGTTTATACATGCACAGAAATAAGTCATAACAAATTCTCAACCACAACTATACCCAGAAAGCTGTAAACCTAATATGCGACCTTCCATGTTTAGTTTAATCTGTAATAGATATGACTGTAGTGTTTCTGAGCATCCCATGGTTCCATTAAAATGCTAAAACTGGGTATACACTTAACAATGCAATCTTAAAGTGGTCAGTCCAATCCTCCGATGAACCTTCTTTCTCCGTACTTGACACCCCAACTCAATTTATGTTAGATGATATCCCATTAATGATTGTGAGGCAGTTTGGTGTGTACACTGCTCATTTTTATTACTCTGCTGTAATATATTAGATGTCTAAACTGCCAAATCTATTGCATCATAGATGCCAGTCTCCCAATACGATCATTCACATGATGTGCACAAAGTAATTGCCACACAGTCATTCATATTAAAAGGACAATCTCTGCATGGCCACCTTTACATGAAGCGTACTGCATTTGCATGGAAACAGTATATCACTGTAGCTTAAATTATTACTATTAAACTCAGCTACTGACTAGCTGCAAAACATCTCCCAAAGATACATGACATCAAACAACCTGCTACTTGGTAGAGAAAAAACAAGTTCCAGTAAAATGCTTTGATCAATTAATGTGTGCTCAGCATCCATGTCGCAGAGTATGGCCAAGAGCAGTTTGATTAATTACAAGCCCTACCATTTGTGTTCTTATGTACCAGTGTAATGACAGCCTCCATTTCTACAATGTAAGTAACCTGATATAGGCTGTCTGTGATTTAACATCATAATTACTCGGTAGGTCTGTCACAAACTAAGATTCATGATACACATACATCTAAGACAAAAACAAACAATATTGAATTCAGATATCAATATAGATAAATGGTCTCTGTCCTATATAACACATCATGTTATTAAATTACTACTCGTCTAATAAAGGCTAATGCAGGAAATGGAGTACATGATATGACGTGCTACATTTACTTATTGCTAATTGCATAATACTACTTCATCTTGCAACTGTACTCTAAGCTAAAATATACTGATTTACGTAGTGTGTTTTTCTAGTTCAGGATTTATATTATAGTTTGCAAAAATGCTTACCATAATTGTAGCTTGCATTTAAACCTGGTATGAGAGAAGTACATGACCCTTTATAAAAGGCTTGTTTCCAGGCTTTCATGCTGTTCGTTCAGCTTCACTTTTCCTTTGACCCAGAACAAGTATAAGTATAAGAACAAGGTATATTTAAGAACAAATATATACTTATAACAAGTATAGGTACAAGTGTAAGAACAACTTTAGACTCAGAGCTGCGACTTGGCTTCAGCATGGCAGCTTGGAACTAGTCTGCTAGTAAAAGGTGTCAGGAAAAAAGATAAAAATCATGGTGTCCTCTATATTATGTTATCAAAAAGCCTAAAACAGCTGTATAGTACAATCTGGACTAAGAACTCTATGCTTTAGCGTGGATACACATCCACAAGGAATGTATATTTTTCCCTTTTGGAGTGTGATAGAAGTGATGGCATGCCAATACCTTCTCAGCCAGGAGGTGTTGGGTCTCTGTGGCTTACGCACATGTATGCTCGAAGGATGCAGCATGCATTTATAGGTGAGAGTCAGGGGGGAAAAAACCTTTCATGGTTGAATTGCGACCTTGTTATTAATCTTCCTCTCTTTGTCCATGACAGCTCATGACAAAGGTAAATTGAACAGACACTAGAAAAACCTTGTTATCCTTATTTCTATTATGATGGTTGTCTTTTAAAATAACTTTAGAGCATGATAGTTATTGAACAGATATACCCCCTGGCAATCAGAAACGTATATTTAATTCCAAGCAAAAATAGCATTGTGCTCTTACCGTAGGTAAAATATTCCACTTCAGGAGGAAGCGTGACCAAGGAAAGGTCACTTTCTTGAATATTTTGGTCCACATACGTTTGGGCTTTGGTGGCTTGCATGAAAGCTAGAAGTCTGGCCGTGAAAGCTGCGATAAAGATGGAGAGCATTCCAAAATCTAAAACATTCCACAGCTGAAGAACATATTCCCTGGGACCTTCTATCCACAGCTCCTTACACTCTGACCACATCATGCCTGCAAATAAAAACACACAGCCTTGTTGGTAGTGTTTAAGAAAATAATTATGTTTCTTGAGCGACTGCATTATCATCCAGGGAATGACAAAATAAAGATGAACACAGGGCACCCAAACAACAGGGCACTGGACTAGTAGAACAGGTACCCAAAATGTATACTGTGTGCATGCAGCACACATGGTAATGCCCTTGCATTTGTGTGAACTGATCCATGGAGTTTACCATACACTAAACTGCATTGAATGGATGTGAACCAATCACAAAGGAAATAATGGGATTTCTACTTGAAAATGCATCTTCATGCAGCAAAATGCATGAGTTTTGCTGCATAAAAGAGACAAGTGTGACTAGGCCCATAGGGCCCATTGCCAATGTTGCATTAAACAAAATGCATATCTTTTGCTTCCAACTTGCATGGGTTTTGCTTATAGTTTGCATGTGTTTTGCTTCAAGGTTTGCATGCTGTGCCAATACAAACAGTATGGGCTTTATTTATAAAACTTCTGCCAAGTGTATAGCCGGGCAGATGTCTTTCCAAGGCACTAGTACCCCTAAATGGTGCTGATGAGTACAGGTATTCCTATACTCGTTGCGCCAGCTTTAGGGGCATTAGTGCTGTGTAAACGGCATCAGCTCTGATGTTTTTTTAAATGAAGCCCTATGTGTTTTCTAAAATGCAGAAAGAAAAAGTTGCTGGGTGCATTTTGCTATCCTGGAATCCACAGAAATGCTTAATATTGAAAATGTACTATTGCAATAATCTAAATCTGCACCATGTCCCATTAGCCATTGCCATTATGTCCAAGCACTGCATATTCACTCCATTATACTCAAAATACTCCCAAGACACTCCCCCTCGTTGCTATGTATTTTTACACTTAGGCTTTAGCGTCTTTGCACATTTTAGCGTGTGCTTTGTCTGGCGTTTCATCTAGAATGTTTAGTGCATTTTTGCGTGTTTTGCACATTTGTGTGCACGTTTGACGCACACATGAAGGTGCACAGATTGAAATACATTGTGGTGAATGGACAAACTGCGTACAAAGAATTTGCAAAACGCTTCTGTAGCGCATTTCCAGGTGTTTCCATTGAAGTCTATGGGGCAAAACGCGTCTGCCAGCAGTTCTGCGTTTTACAGCATGCAACAAAACTCCCAGATGTGAACAGCGGTCATTGAAATGAATGGGATATCTTGTGTTGAGAGTTTTGTTGTGCTTAGCTTTGAGCGTCAAAAAGCCTAGGTATGAACAGGGACTCACTGCTGCCGCCATCTTCTCTTGGTCTTCTTCTGAGCCCAGTGTCTTCTTTCTTCAGCCATTAGGCAGCCACTGATGACATAACTTCTACTCTTTTCTGGAACCCAGATTTTACTTTTGGCATTTTATAGATGCTGGGATTGTACACTATACATGCACCATACTGCTGGCAGGAAGGGAAACAAATTACAAAGCATCTTCTGCCATAAAACTCTACCTTTTAATATTTATTTGTTTATTTATTTATTTTAAATTACGTTAAGTTCTGCTCTAAATAAAATGTTATAGCCTTTTCCTAAATGTTTCTGTGGAGTTTGGTATCTTTACAAAATGCAAGCATATGAAAACATTCACTAGTTTACACTATGGAAACATAGATATTATTGCAGTTTAAAGATTTAACTCTGCTCATGAACACTGTCTATTAAAAGGTTAACATTTTCTCAAAAGTGAGTCATATATTGAACAGAGTAACATAGTGCATTATTGAAAGGCTGTGAAAATCAAGCATAAGCATGAGGCGTTAGCATCTTAAAGGTGTGAATTGTTCACATTCAGCAGAATACCTGTTCCGTATAAAGGTAACAGCAACACAAACAACACAGACAGGATAAAAATGAATTCATTCAGAGCTGGGCATGTCATGTTAGATGATAACAAATATTGTTTTATATTTTTTTCTTTACTTTCCATATTTAAGACAATGCACTCTCACACCTAACCCTGTGACAAGGCCAAACAGCAATGTGCCTAGTGCAATACCCAGACCATTCATGTTAAAGTTTTCTGACCGCTCTTACCATACACAGAACTGCTTGCAAGGGGTTATTTTAAAAGATAAACTTCTACATTGCAGAAATGCATAGTACATACGATGAGGGTGGGCAAGGGCAACGTTTGACAAAGACTTTCCAAATGCCTGTAGCCTGCGCTGCTGCACTGGGACCCAAGAAGCAATTGGCAGTCCATTAGCAGCTTTGCAGGAATCAAGCTGGAAAAAGCTACTCTCATTCACTGTTGATCATCTATTATTCTATGTTAATGGACCAGATCCCTGTAACAATGCTTATCTCCTTGCCTGCTTTGTCATGGAACTTACTAGAGCTGGTAACATCACACGAAAGACATCCAACAGTGCTGGAAAGACCGTGGAGGTTCTGGTCAGAACAAATTTGGTAATTGAACAGTGGAAAAATTCAAAGCTGTACTTACAAACAAAAAATACTGTAGGCACTTTGTTAGCTAATCCTGGAATCAGATTAGCCAAGTGTTATGGCAAGATAGCAGGTATGCAAGAACAATAGGCAGGAATTCCCACCAATTTCCAGCAAGGGCAAATCAGGGAGACCTGTGGTAGATATATCTCCCAGCTCTGTAGAACTGTTCACAGCCACAAGACAATTATCAAGTCTATTAGTAGAAGAAAAAGACCTACCCACAACCCAGACCATAATGAGCATTTCTGTCCATGTAAATCTTGTGGTCTTCACTCTGAAGATTTGCTTTGGGTACTCAATGACGGTGATGTTTGGTAAAGTTTTAATGCCTTCAAATCTGTCAGAAGCATTAAACACGAGCAGGCACAGGAAGATAATAAATGATGCAGCATGAGCCACAAACTTCATGAAGGGGCTGCGGAGTATCTTGCCGAACTAAAAAGGAAAGCAAAGTAATAATTATTTATTATCATGTTCTCAGGCTTCATTTGAGAATAGATGACAGATGGACATTAGGAAATACTATGCTGAAGGATACTTCTTCTGTCTGATATTCATGTTTCTGTGCACAGCTGCATCCCATAAGGTTGCATGTTTATGTGCCAAAGAAAATTCTGGTACTTGTAGCTTGCAGGATTGTCAGTTGAAGCACCACAATCCATTTAAAGGTCCAAATACATCTTTATTCAGTATAGGGTTGAGGGGACAGTATAGAAATAGCCAACACATTTTGGGGGCTCATACAAATACCTCCTTCATCAGGGTTTGTCTAGTGAGCTGTAGCTGAGCTCTCTGTGTATTAACAATGTAGGCTTAACGGAAATAGAACCTCAAATTGCCACAGTCAAGAGGTAAGTATTTAGGCCAACAAGCAGCAACAGTAGCATATTAACACAGGGTACCCAAACAACAGGGAACTGGATCAATAGAACAGGTACCCAAGACGAGGTGTACATGACAAGCAGAATAGGCCATGCAATGCAGATACCCAGTGGCGTCGCTACAGGGGGGAAAGGGGGGCAATTGCTTGCCCCCCCGCCAGGGCTGGACTGGCCATAGGGCATGTCGGGCCGAACACAATCAGGCTGATTGTGTTCAGCCCGCACGGCCGCTATGTCCGATGCACAGCGTTGATTAGCTCCTCCCTCTCATTCCCCTGCTCAGAGCAGACAGATGCATGTCAGTCCGTTGGAGCAGGCTGATGCATACAGCACTAGTGCCCGACGAACCTTTGTTCTGAGCAGGGGAATGAGAGGGCGGAGCATTGGGTAGGCTCCTGGGTCTGTCCTTTTCGGTGCCTGTAGTGGCTGATGGGATGCTTGCAGGCTGAATTGGATGCAGGCAGTGTAGGCCACACGCTGTGCACTGCCCAGTAGGACACCTCTGGTGTGCAGGAGCAAAACGGCCACATTACATAGGAGACGGAGTTCCATGCAGTTTGTATCTGACTGAAAGCAGCAGCTTGAGGGATAGCCTGAGGAGCAGCTGGAGGCAGATCCCTACTCCTACATTCAAGGTAGGAGTCTGAGTCTAGCCTACCTTTCCATTGCGCTGTGCACTAGGGATGTGCCGATACCACTGGTAGCTGCCATTAAAGCCGCACACCCACCTCAGAGCCTACTGTACAGGGTTAATGTCGGCTCTGGGGCAGCTGTGCGGGGGTTAATGGTCGCTCTGGGGTAGCTATGCGGGGTTAATGGTCGCTCTGGGGTAGCTGTGCAGGGTTAATGGTTGCTCTGGGGTAGCTGTGCGGCGTTAATGGTCGCTCTGGGGTAGCTGTGTGGGGTTAATATCAGCTTTGGGGTAGCTGTGCGGGCTTAATATCAGCTCTGGGGTAGCTGTGCGGTGTTAATATCGGCTCTGGGTAGCTCTGCAGGGTTGATATCTGTGTTTAGGTTTTGAAATAAGTTTTCCCATTTTATTAATGTCGGCTCTGGGGCAAGTGTGCAGGGGGGTTAATGGTGACTCTGAGGGCAAGTGTCGGCTTGTTAATGTCGGCTCTGGGGCAAGTGTGCAGGGGGGTTAATGGTGACTCTGAGAGCATTAACCCTGCACACCTACCCAAAGCCGACATTGACCCCACATACCCCAGAGCCGGCATTAACCCCGCACAGCCACCTGGGAGCCACACAGACAACCATGGACCCTGCATTTCCAACCTGAAAGTCCACACAGCAGACCATAGACCCATATGCACCTGAGAGTTCACACAGCCACGTGAGATCCTCTGCAGGAGACAGGCCAGTACCCCGGAGTAGCACAGAGTATGTAGCTTCATATTATTCTGCATTTCTGTATAATTTATTGCTGGCATTTGTAGTCCTTTATAGCTGGTGGCATTCTGCATTGTTGTATATTGTATTGTTAGGTTTTATAGTCCTCTATACAGTGGCAGAACTACAGGGTCAAATAGTTGCAGCTGTGGCTGGGCCCTAGCATTGCATTCTGTCATTTGGGGGGCATCAGTTTTGACTGTGGTATCTTATGTGCCCCCCCCTATATATTGTTCCTAGAGTCGCCACTGCAGATTCCGGCTACAAGTATGTCAGGCAATGGGCTGGTAAATTATTCAGTGAGTTGTCTGTTTACACCATTGGGAAACAACAGCATAGTTTGCAGTTATAGCCACTTTTATCCCCCACCTGCTAAAATGGCCAAGGCAGCTGCTTCTTCTACCTACCATTGCCCTGGCCCTTTACTTCTTGAGTATATTTGGAGAAATATATCAAGAAAATTATTTTTCTTAGTTTATTATACTATGCTTGTAAACTATTCTTACTCAAATAAAGACACTCTTTAGACATGTCACATCTCTAGATGAATGGATCAAACTCATAAATAATAGCATCCTATAATATAAAATCACTCTTGAGAAGAGACTGCCCTGAAAAATATGTGACTGCCACCTAGATTCTCCAAAAATGGAATCTACGCAATCATATACAGAGAGTAGATACAGTATGTTAATATTCTAGTCTGATCCTCTGAAAAGTTTAGATGAAGCACTTAATGATTTTATCAGTAGTCTCAATCATTATAGCTTACACTGAAGCAGATAGACCAGCCTGAAAAGGTTTAGGATTTTATATTTAATATATAAAATAAAATTAAGGCATGTCTTACCGAGATAACAGTCTCCCCAAAGTAAACAAATTTTACATTTCAGAGATGACCTTTACTTTTAAAATTTCCTTTGTTATTAAATTACACTGCAAATGTTTAAAATAAATCTGCTCAATTTTACAGATTATGTATTTATAACCTTGAGAATCTTACTGTTTACCATGCTGTAAGGGGAGAGGAGGTACTGAATTATCAGCATATTCTGCGTTTACTTCATACTTCAAGTGTTCAGGTATCATCATGACATGATATCAAATTAAAGTGTATGTTACACTAAAAAGTATATTATATTTATGCATTGGTGTAATAATAGAGTTTCTTGGCTTTTATTATATAATTCTAAGTCATTTCCTATAAAATACCTGATGATCCTGCCACTTCCTCTTTATTCTGTTTTCAATCTGACCATGACAAGAACAGAAACAGATCTCTGCTGATGTGGTCAGTATGCATCCTTGAGTTTGCTTTGTTTCTACAACCCCATTTAGCTCTGCTCTATTGATGGATAGTGGCTCTGAGCAGAAGCCTTGCTGTCATAACTCCAATTGCTCATAGTGAGTATCTAGCAGCTGATGGAGAGTAGGAATCTGGGTTATTTTACTGTAAATTATTTACAGTATGCAAGTTACTCAAGTGTGCAATGTCATTCGGCTGCCCGCCAAATGTAGTTGTTTTCTTGCACGTCGTGTTTTCTTTGCAAAGTGTATTTTCGCTAAGCTAAGCGAAAATTCCCTTGCTCTTTAAAAATTCACTTTGCCAAGTGAACAGCCTAAACTCCTTTAATAAATCAAGCCTTTTGCTTTGAATTCCTCTTGAAATATAGTGTGCAATTACAGTGCTTGGGAACTCCTGTGCCTTGACTCTTATAGCTGGATATTTGCAGTTTAAGGTAATTTGTTGCTCTGACTTCTAGTCTCAGGAGATTTGGAGTGAGATTTGGTGATGTCACTTCTGTGCTGCTCATTGTTCTCTTTGGTGGAGAGAAATATGTACCTACAGACCTAAAGGGCATGCATCTTTCTTTTCGTTGCAGGTAGTACACAGACTGCCAAATTAGTATATCCATGTTGTAATAATCTGATTAGGTTTTGGAGAAAAGACACAGAGCATTCTCTGCCTAAAATGCAATTTTAACAAATGGCAAATGGAAAAACCATGACAGTACACATTTGACGAATATCTGTTGCAGATTCAATTTTAATGTTTGTTTTTTTACAATAAGTATTGTCAGTAGGTGATGCTAACACATCTAATGGATAAATGTTTGCACGATGCAGCAAATATTTCAGTCAATACATGCCAAAGGGAGCATACATTAATAAAGTTTGATTACATTAATAAGGATGCGTTGTTTCAGTTTGCGCTGCCCTTTGTTTTCAGTAGAAAGAATAACATTGCTTTTTATTTCAATGTTAAAAAAATTAATAATGAAAGAGGCCCCAACTTAAAAACAGTTGCAGGTAAAAGCATAGAAAAATCAAGTATTTTAAATGCTTACTTGCAGTGTTTTTCCTTTCCATAAATTATTTGTTTCTACAAGGCAATGTGCCCTTGATCCAGTAGCGTATTTATTATGTGTGCCATGCATGCAGGGCACATGGACCCCACGGAGGATGGGGCCCATTGTGCTCTCAATTACTGAACATACATTGGTGATTCAACTTTCGTCCCTTCCTGAGGAAGGGGATAAGCTTACCCGAAATGCATTCCTACTATAGCACCTTCTACACACATAGTGAGAGGAGACTGTGCTGCCCGTGGAGAGAGAGGGAACATAAGAATGGGTGAGAGGCACTTGTGCTTCAACATTGGTATGTGCTCCACATAGACCGGACTTTCGGTTCTATCTACAGAGCGGACCTCTGGCCCCAGCCTTAGAGTGTAACCTCTTTTGTTTATGTTCTGCAGTGTTTGTTCATTCACACCATTTTAAGCCATACCCTATATTTAGCACAATGCAGACCAATCAACTCACTAGCACAGCCCCTCTCTCCTTGCATTTCATGTCCCTCTCCTCTTCTGGTAGATACATGTTACTTTCTGCTCTGGCCAAGCTCCTCTATACCAAGCCTTACCTACCTACCTACATGTATCTACTGGTAGAGGAGTGAAGGGGAATGCTATAGAGCAGGGGTCACTAAATACCAAACAGTGGTCCGGACACAGACTGAGTGACAGTTCTGTCAGGACCCCAATTGCCGACATGCGTTGGGTTATGGCTGGCTAAGTGGATACACCGGCTTTCGTGTCCTCTGCAAGCCGTAAAACCCAGCGCAGGCCCTCCCTCCACTTTAGCCATTGCTTGCTAGGACTGCTGGTGTCCTAGCAACCAATTAGGTCAGGCAGGGCTGGCTGCTACAACTACAAGTAAGCTGGGTGGCTGTATGTTTTTTTAGTGGTTTTCAGGTTCCCCGCTCCTCCGGGATCATGACAAACAGTGTCAGGATGGAGGGCAGGAGCAGACTGGGAAACGTCTGTTCACTGATCTACTCTTTGATCACCAATGCATGAAGCACTGTGCTCTCAGTGCTTCCTGTTTCAGCTGTCAAAAGCCAGCTCTAATGCTGGGGAAACAGAAGATGAAGCACATTCCTGCACTTCATAGTATGTGTTGGAGGGCAAGGGAGACATGAGGGTTCTTGCAGACCCCTGATATTTCCATAAAATTAACCTGTCACTTCCAAATGCAGTCACATATGGGCTTGTAAGCTCCTTTGTGATAGCAAAAGTTAAGGTGATAAAAAACAAACAAAAATGAAATAAAAATAACAAAAATTTAAAACCAATCCTGCCATCCCGCCATCTGATTCCCGCCATCTGATTCTAATGAACATGTGCGCATAAGGCATGCATGTGTATGCAAACGGGGGGGGTTTTCTAAGAAAATAAATAAGTAAAAAATTAGCACATCAGCACTGTGCCTGGCAACACACACCAGCAGCTGTGAGTTGCAGTGCAGCTGCTGGTGTGAATGCAGCCTAAATGGCAGACCCTGGTACGGACACAAACTGAGTGGCCGTTCTGTCCGGACCACGATTCGGAGCTTGATTAAAATTTTATTCACGGGACCTTCTTGAATTTAAATTCACTACCCCTGCTATAAAGTGTCGCTTGAATGGCAACTCTGGCTAGAATTGACTGCTAATTTCCCATCCAAGATGCTGGCACCCTGCAGTAGTTTCAGGGTTTTTGGATGTCAAACCAAGGGAAGCTTTTACAGGTAAATAACATGCCCTAAAATGCGTTAAATACACACAATATAGTATAGTATTTAGATTAAATTACCCGGCTGCATGGCGCAATCCAGTAACCAACGGCAAGAAATGGGAGTCCCAGAGCGACAACCAGGACAACAAAACATTTGGTAGCGATGACCTGTTCTCGTAATCCTGTGAGATTTTCATACCAGATGGTTAATAGTTGCTGTTGGCAATTGGGATGTGCCACAAACTGCAAACAGAAGAATACAAATGGTCAATTGGTCAATAGCATTAAGTGGTTTGCCAAGTTATTAAAAACTGTACCTGATGTCATATTATAGTGCATCTAAAGGCATTTTGTTTTCATTTCATTTTGGATAAACCAGGGAAGATTTAGAACCCCTGTCAGGGTTTTAAGTGCTGTCTGGGAAGAATGACCCTTTCTGCTTGTCCCGGTGACCATTGTCACTGTAATAGAAAGTAAGGCAAATGTCTTTATCAACAGAAACAGGAATTGAGGGGAAATCTTCCAGTGGGAACACTTGTTTTGGTGACAACTGTCTAAAAGAGGATTTCTCAGCCTTCTATTGGCTATTGCAATTTGAAATAGCCAATAGCAGGCTGGTTATTGCTCTCGCCCACTGCCCGTTGTTTACATTAAGCTTTATGTAAACATTAAGCAAGATGTAAACAGTGAATTTCACTAGCAACTTAATAAATTGTGCACGTCTTTTAATCACCCGGCAAAAATAAAATTGAGGACATATTATGTCCTCGATTTTTCTTTGGCGGTTGCTTGAGAGTGCCAGTTGCTTGAATGCCGATAATGGAGAGTTTACTGTAGTTTATTCCTACTAAGTTGCCACTTGCATGCTGTAGGAGCTCTCTCCCCCTCCCCCCGGCACCTCACTACTGGCCCATCACTTTGACAAATGACCAATAGTCAAGTTTGATAGAGGAAGTGGGGCAGAGCATTCAACCAAACTTGTTGAGACTGCAGATTAGATTGCCCTGGGTTTTGGGGCTCCTTGGACCTGTTATGCTTTGGCTTCAGCACTTTCTGCATCTCTGATCTCAGTGCAGCCATGTGTTCTGATTTCTCTCTGGCTTATTTGCTGTGTTCTGAATCCGCATCTCAAAGCTACTAAACTCAGGCTCAACCAGTCAACTAGCATTTTCAGAAGGAGACAACAATAGCAGCCCTAATATTACTCTTGTCATAGCTGTACTTTACCAAATCCCTTTTCTTCAGAACATCTCTTTAATGCAAGAGATAAAACTCCTGCACCCAGGATTTAGGATGAAAACAAAACTGACAGGGGTCTCTTAGTTTATCCAAAGCTAAAAAAACAACTTTTAGATACATGTAAACAGCCAGTCAAAGCAAGTATTAAAATGCTGCTAGGACAGTGTACATCAGGAAAAAGTGACTCAAAGTTACAGACAACAATAATAGATGTGTGCCTGCTGCATTACTACTCTCATCGCATTATAATTATTCTTTATGTGTTTCTGAAAATGTTGTGGCAAATGTTGGAGTTCCCCTTTTAAACATTTTGTAGCATGGGTTTACAGACAAATGTTCCTCTTGCTGAAGATGTTTTTTCAGTATTTCATGTTTTCATCTAAAATATGATTATTATTTGAAATAAAAACATAAACCGTTGACACAGCATCTCAAAGCGCTATCAACCATTACAATACAAGAATCTTAATGTACTGTATGTGTCAAATGCATGAATGCAACTGCTGGGTCTAGATGGAGTGAGCTGTGGTGCGCCTACAGCTCCTTTTAAAAATGTACATAAATAAGAAATGAGCAGGTTGTGTAGGATTAATGTTTTTACAATAATGCCAAATTTTATGAATACAAAAAAATTATAATGAAAATAAAATAAACAATTGAATTATTCAATTAAACACATCAATGTTTTAAAATGTTGTAACGTTCTGCTGAGGGTGTGCACTTAAGCTAATTGCCTACATTACTGTCAAAGAGGACTACAATGCTCTTCAATTCCATTATGACACATTTACTAAACTGGACATAAAACACTTTATACATTTAAACGCACCTCTTCAAAATATGAGCACAAAAGACAAAATAATAAGCTTACATTGTAAGGAACTTTACATAACTTTTCAGAAAATAGGAATTTAATTGAGACAAATTCAAGATTTGAAGTGTCAAATTTCTAAATGAATTGACTGGGTGTCACTGTGAGGCCTGCGTTCAACACATTATAAACTGTGATGTGCACTTGCCGAATGTTACACCCTATGAATGTCAGCCAATGTATGAAGACTCATTTTAGGTGAATCTGCAATAAATCCATTATATCTTTCAGAAAACTCTTGAAATGATACTAAACACAAGAGTTAAATCTTAAAAATGCATTCAAGTAAATTAATTATTAACAAAAATGTAACTTATATGTGCTCATTCAACAGTAGATCGTCTAATCATCTCTGAATGTGTGATGGCACTGTCCTTCCTTCTGAAGGGTGGCTTGTTTTATTCCCCATTGTCCCTGAGTTGTAAATTTGCCACCGCTCCAAACTCACTCCTGTGATGGACTACAATCTCAATACTGAATAGCAAAGTAAATGTGAGATTGTAGTCCATCATGGGAGTGAGCATGGAGTGGTGGTTACTTTTCAACATACATAGGGACCATGGGGAGTAAAAGTAGCCACTCTGCAGAAGGAAGGACAGTGTCAGCACCAATTGAGAGATGTTTTGAGGATCTACAGCCCAGTGATACCCGAATAAGCTACATTTTTTGTTTTTATGATTTAACTCCTGAGTTTAGTGTCACTTTAATAATTACCACAGGATGTAGAACATATTTTGATTATTCATGTAGAAGGTTTTGACCATTGTAGTATTTTATCTTTGTCTTATTTTATTCTTATTTTTATTTATTTTATTTACATTTTATTTACATTTGTTATGAAATATTTGATGTGAATTTGTTTAATAAAACTAATTCATGCGATTGTTTTATGTTTAAAATATTCCAACAAAATTTTTTTTGTTGGTATATGTATTCAATCTAGGGGTGTGGTGTCTCAGTCCCGATGGATGTTCCAGAAAAATATTTGTTTGTTATGTTTAAAATAACTTTTAAATAATAAATAATTATAACTATTGTTCATATGAATTAATCAACAGTCTGGATCTTTATTCACATAATCCTATGCAAAGCACTCTTTGTGCATAGTGCCCTCAAGTTCAGCATGTTTGGTAGGTAGGTTCATATAATATAAACTAAATAAGTAATTAAATAAAGCTGCCTGTGTGAATATTTATAAATTGTGTACTTCTGGTGGGACTTGGGGGCAAGTTTTAGAGACATAGACTATACAACACCTTCCTAAAGGATTGCATCTAGGCTCCAGGTACTAAACATATATTCTTTACCTTATAGCCACAATATACTGGATAACACACCTGTTTCCAAGCTCTCCTGCACCAACACACAAAAGGATTCCGTTTATAGCTATTGCATGTAGATGGCATATGCAATAGCTATCTAATTTGCTCTCTTCCAGAGAGCAAAATTCTAAACTGTCCTGCTAGACAGCCATATGTCTTATAAAGTCCATCACTGTCTGTATAAAATTGGCACATTTTGCTTTTAATACAGTGGAACAATTTAATAAGCTTTTACAAACTTGGATCTCCCACCTATGTATCTCAGGTTTACAATAACCCATAACTTTTTTACTGCGTGGCCTGTTATCCCTCATGCTCCTTGATTGATAAGGTCTCCCTGGTCGCATCCAATGTCCTACTTCTGCTCTCAAATTTTCAGATTTTTGTTTGTACATATCTTTCTGCTCCTCCTGCTTAGGGCCTACATTTAGCTGTCTGTATTTCTTTCCTTACCTTGTAAAAAAGTTCTATACCTAATAAAATAACTTGTAAACACTAATGAAACTAAAGGGCTGCATCTGTTTTACTTGGCTACTTCTCACATCATTTGTGCCAATCTATTTTTTATATATGTCTAGATATTTTGTTCCTAACTGCTGTCTTAAATTGCACTTATTTTACTACTTATTTATAGTAGTGGACAAGTTTAAGTAGTTTATGTGCAACAACACTGGTGAAAGTTCAAGTACAAGATGGAGCAAAAATGGGGCGCTAATTACTTGAGTTAGTAATCAAAATGTGCAAACATTAAAGGTCACTTTGAGTGCTGCCTGTTTAGCTTCATGAGTACAACCCAAATCAAGTATGTTTGACCTTTCCTACTCTTTACACCAAAGAAAGTGTCATTTTAATGTGTTTATTAGATAGAAGAGATTCTTTGTTAATAATCATGTTGTTATGCCGTGATATATGAGTAACATCAGCCAGTGAATTTCCTGCTATCCGTGAAACACTGTAATTATACTAGACCCTCCAACATGACTGACTCCACAAGGCACTAAGCACTCTGCTCCTGATCATCTTTCTTCCTTCTGATTACACTTGCCTGCCATTTAAGCAGACTCTTCATGACTGAGTTCAGGAGTTGTAATCAGAAAGGCATAGAGATGATCAAGAGTGTTTTGTACTTTCTGGACTAGATCATTTTATGAGGTCTGTAATAGCAGAAAATACACATTATTCACTTGCAAAGATGTTTTTGTTAAAGTTTTTCAGAAAACAAAGGAAGAGAAAAATATCAGTGATTGAAATAAACAGAAGATTTCCAACTGGTATATGATAAATAACTGGTAACATCATGTATATATTTCAAAATAGCTTGTCCAACTGTCAGTGTTAATCTGTGTGAGCCATATTTAACAGACCTTTTACAGCACCCTACTAAAGAATTATGCATTATGTATTATGCATTCTTCCTTTTAAAGAATTGAAGAGGGGGATACTTAAAACCTAGGATCAGAAGGATTCTAGAACCAAGAAGGATTTTAGGAAAAGAGGCAATCTAGCAGTCACAAGAAAATTTAAATAGCAATCAGAGAATCCATCTGCAATCAGAGTGTTCAGCTGCATGTTTAAACGCAAGAATACATATTAGAGCTGTTTACTAGGTAGGTTGTATGCTCTGAGGTGTCAAAGCACACTGTACATAGGACCTTCATGGCTCATAAAGTCAGGGCGATCTGACAGGTGAGTTAGGTGAGTGCAGGGCATTACAACGCACATGTGAATGGTACCCCAGTGTGAATAGGCCATCACTAAGGTTAGGAGTAGGTTAGGAGAAAGGATAGGAGTAGGTTTATTTCAATGACCAC